ACAATCGCTAGAGGCCTCAGGAAGAGTATTCCCAAGTGGAAATAGAGAACAAAGAAAACAACGGACATTATCAGGAAGACTGTTCCAGAGATTAGGAGCCATATATAAGAGGGCTCGACCTCCTTTAGTGGACTTTGCTACTCTAGGTACTACCAGAAGCCCTGAGTTTTTAGATCTTAAACAGCGAGTTGGATTGTAGCAAGACCGGAGGTTGGTGAGATAAACAGGAACTAGATTATTTAAAGCTTTATAGGTAGAAATAGATTTGAGAATGAAAAAAAATTAAATTGACCAGCTTTATTGTAGAGGTTTAGTGAAGATGGATCACTTTGATTTCTGTTAACTTGTAAGATGATAGGAGGCTGTACGTTGTTTGTTGTTTGCCATTCTTGTGATTGAGTTGTTTGTAAGTGTTTGTTTTGGATTGGCTGTGCTCTCCTGCTCTTCATTTGCTCTGTATATCCATCCGCTGGGTCAGTCAGGAGTGTGTGTGTGTGTGTGTGTGTGTGTGTGTGTGTGTGTGTGTGTGTGTGTGTGTGTGTGTGTGTGTGTGTGTGTGTGTGTGTGTGTGTGTTAAATCTCCAGCTGTGTTTACTGACTCCATCATTAGTGTGTGTGCAGAGCAGCAGCTGGAGAGAGTTTACACTCACATTACAGCCATTAACTTCTGTCTTGAATTTCAATTTGATTTTATTGAATGGGGAAACCCCTTGAGGTGAACCATCACGTTTTCGAGGGGCTCCCCAATGAGACATACAGTACATAAATCAAAACCGAGTATGTGAGAGCCGGACGAAAGTACCATCTTTAATAAAAACCCAATTTTAAAAGACAATGTTTTAGACAGAGATATATTTTTGTTAACTCATAAGGGGGTTCTATCAATATTGGCTGGTATTTTGAGCAAATGTAGAACAACTTTAAAATAATTGAACTTTAGACGAAAGTTTACATGGTTACTTTTGACACCTTAGGCAGGAATGAAAGAAACACACGGGTGGGTCAACAGTAGTTGCTAGCTTTACTGGCTTAATCTTGTTTATTGTAATGGACTTTCACATTGTTAAGGGCTACACAGTGGTGCAGTGGGCAGCGATGTCGCCTCGCAGCAAGAAGGTCGCTGGTTCGAGTCCGGGGTGGTTCAGTTGGCGTTTCTGTGTGGAGTTTGTATGTTCTCCCTTGTTGTCCAATCCACGCCGTCTGTTTTTATCACTCTGCAAAGCAAAGCATATTGTCATTCTGGTTGAGAATGATCTACTTCTAGACAAAATGTTGCCACAAAAATGATGACAAATGAGAGTTTTGCTTCTCCTCAGCTCTGTTTTTGCTTTTCTGGATGTTTCTCCTCTGATTTGAGCTTCTACAGCCCGTCATCAATGAACAACACTTTGAAGAGGCCATTGCTTTATTGTGTACTGGCATTTAGTAGTGTTTGTACTGAGTTACCTAATAAGTCAGTGCATGGATTTTTGTGTGTATGCATGCGTGTTTGCACACATGTGTGTTTTGTGTATGCACGTGAGTTTGTGCATGTGGTGTCACTGCAAAAAAATGCTTTTCTTAGAGTTTTTGTCTTGTTTTTTAGTACAAATTTCTCACAATTCTTAACCCAAGAAGCATTTTCTAGATGTGCAAACAATATTATCTTTTTTTTTTTTTGTAGAAATAATGAGTCAAAATGAAGTGGGTTTTTCCTTAAAACAAGCTAAATGCTGTTGGAAAACAGTGTATTTCATTCACTCAGTCCTGAAGGCTCTCAAAGTATGTGTCTGCCACTGAAATGCGACCTCTGGTGGACAGTAGCAGACTCCTAAATGAGACCGACTCAGAGTAGAGATCTGCGCGGGACTAAATTTTGAATCCCACTCCCGCCCGCACCCGCCAGGTTTTAGCCCAAACCCGACCGCTCCCGCTTATATTAAGAATTTGTTGTCCCACTGCCCGACCTGCCCCGTTTTCTGCCCGCCGTGCCCGATCCTGCTAAAGAGCGGGGAAGAACAAAACCGAAAATCCCCCAGCTATACAGTCCTGTCTGTATAAACAAACACACACACACACACACACACACACACGCACACACACACACACACACAGCAACAAGCACACACACACACACACACACATACAGACAAAGCTCTCTCTCTCTCTCTCTCTCTCTCTCTCTCTCTCTCTCTCTCTCTCTCTCTCTCTCTCTCTCTCTCTCTCTCTCTCTCTCTCTCTCTCTCTCTCTCTCTCTCTCTCTCTCTCTCATACGCGCACGTGCGCACTAACACACACACAAGCACCAAGCAGACACACAGGCGTTTGCTGTTATATCAACTCAAAGGCTTGTAATACCATGTATCAAGTACCAATGTAATACCAAAAGGTTTTACATAAAGGTTTATAAATACTGAGTTGTGCCAGCTCCGGGCCGCAGCGCACATTACTCTCGGGCCATTTCCGGCGCGGATGCGGATTTCAGGTGTTTTTAGAACAAAAACTCCTTTTAATATGGAAAATATTGCTTCTATCGTGTGCCTTTGCTTAGAACATGGTTTAATTCAGCCTTTAGACTCGGTGGCACACTCCTGTTGGTCCTCAATCTGGCAGCGTGCGCTTGCAATACCTATTTCAACCAATGGGTGTCATTTCCCAATGGTGGAAGTAAAACGAACCTATTTCAACGTGAAAACGAGATTATTTGACTTGTTTTAAGGGAAAACTCACTTCATTTTGACTCATTATTTCTAAAAAAAAAAGACAATATTGTTTTGCTTGTGAAGAAAATGCTTCATGATTTAAGATTTTTTAGGTTTTTGGACTATAAACGAAACAAAAACTCAAAGTTTTGCGGCTTTTTTGCAGTGTTGGTGGTGATTGAGTTTTCTATTCAGATATTCAGCTGTTTCTCTCTCTCTTTCTCTCCGTATCTCTCCCTCTCTCTCTCTCTCTACAGGAGGAGCCAATGACAAAGTTAGTGTACTGATAATGTAGAGTCGCTGACTGTATTTCTGTGCTGTTTTCCATTGTGTCATAGAGTGATGTTCCGCATGTGCTGCTGTCAGTCTTCATGAGCGTGTGTGTGTGTGTGTGTGTGTGTGTGTGTGTGTGTGTGTGTGTGTGTGTGTGTGTGTGTGTGTGTGTGTGTGTGTGTGTGTGTGTGTGTGTGTGTGTTCTCAGTCATGCCAGTGATTCTGCTGTCCGTGTATTAATAGCACAGTGTCATTTACCTGCACGAGTATTGTTTGAGATGAGATTGTCAGAGCAGTTTTTGTCTGGGAGAGCAGAGCAAGTCCACTAAACAAACACACAGACTAATGGAGACATCTAGAGGCGCTCACTGGTCATTACAAGGGCCAGACAGAATCTGTGCACATTTTTTGCTATTTCTGTGCAGAATTTTGTAAAACTAAAATCTGCAGATTAACGCAGAATGATTTTGGGAGTGTTGTAACTAAAGACTTAATTTATTAAATGAAAATCTAGACCTTTTTACAAGGCACATCTGATTAGTCTCTCATATAATAAATCTACTAAAATACAAACAATATTACTTTATAAATTAACTTCAAATATTTATATGATGTATTTACGATACAGAGTAAATATAAGTTTACACACATTTACACAAGTAAATTGATTTAGTTGTTTTTATTTGTTTAGTTAGCAGGCACATTACACGTCAATAAAACATTTCTCTAAATGTGCGACACTATCATCTGTAGTCCCTGGGCTGAATGTTAAAAGTTACCCTAAAGAAAATGCTGACATTTTTTTTGATTGCTATTTTTTGCTAATATAATAATAATAATAATAAAAATGCTAATAATAATAATAAAATGATGATGATAATAATAATAAAATGATGATGATAATAATAATAAAAATGATAATAATAATAATAATAATAATACTGCTAATAATAATAATAATGATAATAATAATAATAATAATTATACAAAAATAAAAATGATAATAACAATACAAATAAAAAATAATAAATAATAATAATAATAAAAAGCAACAATAATAACAATAATAATAAAAACAATAATAATAATAATAATAATATTAACAATAATAACAACAACAACAACAATAATAATAATAAACAATAAATAATAATAATAATAATAATAAAAACAATAATAATAATAATAAAATGATAATAATAATAATAATGATATTGCTAATAATAATAATAATAATGATAATAACAATAAGAATAAAAAATAAATAATAATAATAATAATAAAAACAACAACAATAATAATAATAATAAAAACAACAATAATAATCATAATAATAACAATAATAATATTAATAATAATAACAACAACAACTATAATAATAAACAATAATAATAATAATTATTATCATTTAAAAACAACAACAACAATAATAATAATAATAATAATAATAAAAATAACAATAAAAACAATAATAATAATAGTAGTAATGATACCATCTAGAGGATGTTTGCTAAATGAAATGATTAAACCTTGCTCTCTTTTAATAAAATTAACATATTAAAATGAACTTGTTTTATTTGTGTTATTTGACAAAGGAAGCATTTTTCATTGTTGACTGTACTCAATTTAACTTCACTTTTGTTTGTGTTAACAGTAATAATAATAATATTAATAATTAAATATCAATAAAAATTGCAAATATTAATATTGTATTGATTTGTCTTTTCCTAGTGGGCCTCAGAGTATCCTTAAGTAAGTAGAAAAGCTCTTAGTATGACACACAGGCTGCTCTCGACTCGATTCTGACTTCTGATTCTAGTTTCTGTCTTTTCTCTTGATTTCTCTGCTCTAGAAAAACTCCTCCCAGGTAAACAGATGAGTGTGTGTCGGTGTGGTTCATATCTAGTTATTACAGTCAATGATTGATAGTAACATTTTGTGTGTGTGTGTGTGTGTGTGTGTGTGTGTGTGTGTGTGTGTGTGTGTGTGTGTGTGTGTGTGTGTGTGTGTGTGTGTGTGTGTGTGTGTGTGTGTGTGTTTGATCAGAACGGCCCGTAAGCCTGTGCTGGAGACGGAGGTGAACCATGTTTCTCCACTCAGCGACGCCAGTAAGAAGCGTCTGATTGAGGACACAGAGGACTGGCATCCACGAACCGGCACCACTCAGTCCCGCTCCTTCAGGATCCTGGCACAGATCACCGGCACAGAGAACGGTACAACCAACACACAGCTTAACACAACCACATCCCTGACATGACATGATGTGAATGGTACTTTTACTTTAGTATGGTTAGTAGCTTTGTTTTTTTTCAGCATGTAAAAATGTGTAAATGTAGCAGTGCCTTAAATCTGTCATCTGTTTAATTTGAATCGTATTAAAAGCTTTTAAGCTGCTTGTGTGTGTTTTCTGTGCTTTAGATCAAGCTCAGGAGAGCCGGCCTGGAAAGAAGTAAGTCCATACTCCTGTTCTTCATATAGAAATATCACAACTATTAAAGCTTGAAGCACATCTCCATGCTTTATTCTGCTTCAGCATATTCTGCATTTCTGATTCATGTCCCATACCTAAACTGACTTTAAACTACTGGCTTTAAAACATGAGATTTAAGCACATCAAAATATTGATGCACATTTCTTTCTAGAAAATGACAATTGGTCATAAAAAAGTTGTGTTAGTTAGTTAATTTGTTTAGTTAGTTAGTTAGTTAGTTAGTTAGTTAGTTAGTTAGTTAGTTAGTTTGTTAATTAATAAGTTTGTTTTGTTTGTTTGTTTGTTTGTTTATTAGTTTGTTAATTTATTTATTTTGTTAGTTAGTTAGTTAGTTAGTTTTGTTTTGCTTGTTTGTTTGTTTGTTTGTTTGTTTGTTTTTATATTTTTGTTTGTTTGTTGTTAGTTAATTAATCAGTTTGTTTTGTTTGTTTATTAGTTTGTTAATTTCTTTAGTTTGTTTGTTTGTTTGTTTGTTTGTTTGTTTGTTTGTTTTTTGTTTGTTTGTTTTGTTAGTTTGTTTGTTTGTTGTTAAATAAATAAATTTGTTTTGTTCAGTTGTTAAATATTTTTTGTTTGTTTGTTAGTTGATTAATTGATATGTTTTATTAGGTAGCTAATTAATTAATTTGGTTTGTTTATTATTTTGTTTTTTAGTTAGTTTGTAAGTTTGTTTGTTGTATTTTTAATTAATTGATTTGTTTTGTTAGTTTGTTTGTTTGTTTGTTTGTTTGTTTGTTTGTTAATAAACTTGTTTTGTTTGTTTGTCAATTACTTTTTGTTTGTTTGTTTGTTTGTTTGTTTAATTGCTTTTTTAGTTTGTTGGTTTGTTGTTTGTTAATAAATCTGTTTGTTTGTTTGTTTGCTATTTTTTTGTTAGTTAGTTAGTTTGTTTGTTTATTTATTATTTAATTTGTTAGTTTGTTAGTTTATATAGGTTGTTAATATATCATACAATTTTGACATTTATTTTACACTCCTACCATATTTTTAGCAGATAAATTCCAGCAACCACAGCTGGTGGTTTTGTTTTGTTTTTTACACTAAAATTTACTGTATTTATTTATTTATTTTTTTTTACAATGTGCAGGTTTCTTACTGATTCCCTCATTCCGCTCTCTGAACGCTGGGTTAACGTGTGTGTGTGTGTGTGTGTGTGTGTGCTTTCTCTCTGTGGTGTGTGTGGCATCCGTCAGGGTGAATAAAGTGGACCCAGAGGTTTTGCGGCCTCAGTACAACAAGCTGAGAGACTGGCATCATGGGGTCTCTGCCCGCGTGCTCAATGTCTGAAGCCCAGAACATCTCTTTGCTGTCCTCTGTTTCTCTTTCATGCATGATTATCTTCCTCTCTGTGTTTCTGCTGAGTCTATAGCTGTGTTTCCATCCAAAGATTAGATTCATGCGCAAAACTGGCATAAAACATCAAAGACATACAAGCAAAACCATCACTTCCTGATTCACATGCACAGATATTGATCAGAGAAGTGGAGTGTAGTGCATCCACTGCTCCACTGTGGTGTTTGTTCTCAGAAGAGTTGCGCTTCAGAAGACAAAGATGAAATGTAATGAAGGCGGTGGCTTTTGGAGGAGTGAGACGGGAGCGCAGACAGATGATCAAGACAGTTCTGGAGGGAATATTAATAATAGAAGATTAATACTGAAGCACTGTGATGACGGACTGACGGAGGGCTGAGGCCTTTTACAATCAGCACAACAACATCTCACATCTGCAACAGTGGAAAGCTGGAAACATGGAGAGCTGCAGACCAACATTACTGACACAAACACCCTCACACACACACTTATAGCTGATCAGCACTGTTACAACCTACATCACACTGCTGAAGCGCAGAGTTTATTCACTAAATCTGTTTCTATCACAGTTTATGCAATGATCTGTTAGCAAATAAAACGTTTATCTTACTCCGTTGCGCGCATATGTGCATTTCCTAAATTTCCATTAAGCATTTTTTAATGCAATGCTCCAAAATGTGCATAAAAATAGGTGGATGGAAACACAGCTGATCTTTGATACTGTTCCTGCTGTGATGCTGCTGTGTTTCTCTCTTCATGTTCAATAAAGCTTCTCTGTCATCTCTCTGCTTCTGCTGTGGGTCTTTAGGCTTCTGTCCTCTTCTTCTTTCTGGTTTCAGACTATTTAAATGATACATACATACATACACACACACAAACACACACACAAACACACACACACAAACACACACACACAAACACACACACACAAACACACACACACAAACACACACACACAAACACACACTCACACACACACACTCACACACACTCACACACACACTCACACACACACACACACATGATGATTTAGTGTTTGGTTTAGTAGTTAAAGTTTTTTAGTGATTAATTCCACTCAAATTTCAGCTCTCGCTTACAGTCAGAAATGAATACTTAAAGGGATAGTTCACTCATGAATTGTATTTTTGTCAATGTTTACCTTCTTTTCACAAGTAAATAATAAATAAATGTATAAAATATCTATTTTTCTTAAAAAAATAAAATAAATAAATGAAAAATAAAATAAATAAATATTAAATGTTTTTAATAATAAAAAATAAAATAAAAGTAAATATAAAATGAATAAATAAAAGAAAAAAAAATATATATATATATTAAAGAAATAAATAAATTAAAAAGTAAATAAAAAATGTATTATGTATTAAATAAAATAAAATAAAAAGGACATTTATAGATATTTATAATGCTACCAAAAAAAGTTGTGTTTTAAATAAATGTTGTTGTTTTTTTATTTATCAAAGGACACAGACAGATAAAAATGTTTCACCATTTCCAGTTACAGTTTCTATTAATCAAAGAGTCCTGTTTAATAAAACGTCTTACTTAATAGTGAGAACCATGATTAATAAGATAACCATTACTAGTAAACATAACTATTCATGCTTATAAACAAGGATTCATGCATGGATAATGCATTCAATTATTTATTTATTTTTATTTACTTTTTTTTTTAATGATCCTGAAAGATGAACATGTATAACCATATACAGTTATAGTTAATCATAACAAAATAAAATAAATCAATAAATAAAATTAAAGTAAATAATAAATAAGTAAATGTATACAATATATATATATATATATATATATATATATATATATATATATATATATATATATATATATATATATATATATATATATATATATATAAGATAATAAAAAATTATAGAATCAAGAAATGAAAAAATAAAGGAATGAAGAAATTAGAAATAAATAAATAAAAAATATTTTTAAAATAAATAAATAAATTAAATACATATTTTTTATGAAATTGAATAAATAATGACAGACATTAATGCTACACAAAATAAATAAATATAAATAAATAAATAAAAATAAATTAATAAAAATTAATATAAATAAATAAATAAATAAATAAAACATATTTAACCTCCACAAAAACGATTACTTTTTTTATTCATTAATTTATTTCATTATTTATGTGCACCATTCCGGATACCAACCTAAGGTTATCTCGTATGTTTTACATGTGAACTCTAGTACTCTTTCTAGTGCTCTTTAATATATATATATATATATATATATACATATATGTGTGTGTGTGTGTGTGTGTATATGTATATTATTTTTCATATAATTCCAATGCAAGTGCTTGAAAGAAAAATATAGTTGATGCTATACAGTACATATATTATATTATATTCATTTTATAGATAGTTTTAGGTTAATTACCTAGCTTAATTAGGCAAGTTATTGGACTGGTGGTATATATTGGCTGTTATTGCACTATACAGTGTATGTATGTATATATATATATATATATATATATATATATATATATATATATATATATATATATATATATATATATATATATATATATATATATATATATATAATATTGACCTTAAAATGGTTTTAAAATAATTAAAACTGCTTTTGTTCCGGTTGAAGTAAAACAAATAAGACTTTCTCCAGAAGAAAAAATATTATCGGAAATACTGTGAAAAATTCCTGAATCTTTTCAACATCATTTGGGTAATATCTGAAAAATAATACAGATTTCACAGTAATTCTTCAGCTGTGTCATTATTAGTGAGTTCATCATTTTAAAATGACATTTTTGACAGGTTAGAGATTTTTCATGTCAGAACATGAGACACGAGTGACAGACAGATCTGTAAAACAGCCGTCAGACACAGAAACCAGACATTTCAGATAATTCTGTATTTATTGGACTTTAATAATATATGTGATTTCAGCCTCTGGACAGGAGTTGCTTTCTCCTTTCTCTCATCAGGTTTCTCTGTCCATCAGCGTGTGTCAGATTTGTCCTCAGGATCTGAAGCTGCTGAATGAAATGAAATGAAATGTGTTTGAGTGTTTCAGGAGCAGACGGACCCGAGGGCTGCTTATGTATTAATGTGTCCATTGACTTTAATGCAGTGGAGCTCCTGCAGTTCAGCTGGTGGCCTGTAGAGGACAGCATTACACTGCAGAGGCGCATCCTAGTCTTTATTTACTGTTCATTTATTTGTTATTCATTAAGAGATGAAGATGTTCATTTAGTTGTTTAGCAGATGCTTTTTGTATAAAAGGGATTTACAATTGACGAGGCATGCATTTTTTAAAATTTCTAATCATAATAGTTTTAATTTAATTTCTAATAACTGATTTATGTTCTCTTTGTCATGATGACAGCACATAATATTAGACTCGATATTCTTCAAGACACTTAAAGTGACATGTAAAGGCTCCACTAGGGTAATTAGGGTAAAGTTAGGGTAATTAGGCAAGTCATTGTATAACAGTGGTTTGTTCTGGAGACAATCCAACACTATTATTGCTGAAGGGGCGAATAATATTGAGCTTAAAATGGCTTTAAAACGATTAAAAACTGCTTTTATTCTAGCCCAAATAAAACAAATAAGACTTTCTCCAGAAGAACAAATATAAGAGGAAATACTGTGAAAATTTCCACATTTTTTCCATACAATACATTAAGAAACACATTCAGAAGAATTACATGCCAGTTACATTAACTGCGCACCTACAAAAAATAAAAGGAGTAGTATAGAATATGAAAATAAATAAATAATAACACTTTCATTTAGGTCAACAAGGTAAACAAACCAATAACTAACACCACTAGCTTAATAACCTACTAATTAGCTGTTCATTAGTAGCTAGTATGGTAGTGGTTGAGTTTAGGTACTGAGTAGGTAAGTTCTAATGAACAGTTCATGTAATAATAGGAGGCAGGTAATAAGCCAAGTAAATCCAAGTCATTAGATATCAACACTTTATAGCACGTCTTCTGTTGTTACACATATGAAAAGATTTGAGCAACGAGTCAATCTAAAAGTGTAGGGGTAGAAGAAATATTTTTGGTTTATGTATATACTTTATTAGGTACACCTTACTAGCATCGGGTTGGCCCCCTTTTGCCTTCAAGCACTGCCTTAATCCTTCATGGCAGAGATTCAACAAATGCGCTGGAAATATTCCTCTGAGATTTTGCTCCATCTTGACATGATAGCATCACACAGTTGCTGCAGATTCCACCACATCCCAAAGCTGCTCTATTGGATTGAGCTCTGGTGACTGTGGAGGCCATTTGAGTACAGTGAACTCATTGTCATGTTCAAGAAACCAGTCTGAGATGATTGAGCTTTATGACATGCTGCGTTATCCTGCTGGAAGTAGCCATCAGAAGATGGAGACACTGTGCTCATAAAGGGATGGACATGGTCAGCAGCAATACTCAGGTAGGCTGTGGCGTTGATGCTCAATTGGTACTAATGGACCCAAAGACAATCTCCCCCACACCATTACACCACCACCACCAGCCTGAACCGCTGATATAAGGCAGGATGGATCCATGCTTTCATGATGTTGAGGCCGAATTCTGACCCGAGCATCTGAATGTGTCAGCAGAAATGGAGACTCATCAGAGCAGCAACGTTTCTCCAATCTTCTATTGTCCAGTTTTGGTGAGTCTGTGTGAATTGTAGCCTCAGTTTCCTGATCTTAGCTGACAGGAGCGGCACTCGGTGAGCTCTTCTGCTGCTGTAGCCCATCCGCCTCAAGGTTGGCCGTGTTGTGTGTTCAGAGATGCTCTTCTGCAGAGCTCGGTTGTAGCGAGTGCTCATTTGAGTTACTGTCGCCTTTCCATCAGCTGGAACCAGTCTGGCCATTCTCCTCCGACCTCTGACATCATCAAGGCATTTGTGCCCACAGAACTGCCGCTCTCTGGAGATTTCCTCTTGTTCAGAACATTCTCTGTAAACCCTAGAGATGGTTGTGTGTGAAAATTACAGGGATGGAATACGGGAGTTTACCCGGAGAAGAGCAGCAGTATGGGTTGCGAGCAGGGATGATCGGCTCGTTAATGTTGATTGCAACCCTTCACAGAAAGATAAAAAAATATGGGACAAATCCGGGAAAAACCTTTACGAGATGATAGCAGGATAGAATTGGGCAATACAGGAGAATCCTGGGAAAAACAGGAGGGTGAACAGATATCTAATAGTAAAATGTATTAATTTTGCAGGAACACTTTGACATTTTCCCTTTGTACGTGTCATCAAAGGGAGAAGCCCCGCCCACTGGTGATCATCTCTCCCTCATTAGCATAAGACGTTAGTCTTATTTTTGAATCTGCCACTATGCTGACACACAGGCATTTGTAGCTCCGCCCTCTTCTATAAAGAGCTCATTTGCATTTAAAGTGACAGTCACCAAAACGCCACAATTAGGATCAACGCCTGAACGGGTCAGCTTCAGAGAGCTAGAAAACATTATTTGAGTGCTATTTTGAGCTCAAACTTCACACACACACACACACACACACACACACACTTAACATCTTGTAAAAAGGGGCGTAATAGGTCTCCTTTAAATCAGGGCTTCTCAGCAGTGTGTATTTTCCCCTGTTGTTGGCGCCGGTTTTATTCATTAACAAACCATCTGGGAGTGCTGTGCGGCAGCCGTGTGTGTTGGATCAGTCTGTCACATGAACAGCGCTCTGCTCGGGGGAACAAGGACTGTGTGGAGGTTCAGGCTCCAGTGACTCTCAGCAGGACTGAAGGACGGTTTTGTCCTGTTTCTAGTCCAAAGTTTTTAAATCAAGAAGCATTATTTTAGACGAGCCCAAAATATTGTTTTGTGTTCAGTCAACACACACAGCGTCTGTGCTTTTCAGAAATAAAACTGCACAGCTTCCTGTCAGGGTGGGGTTAGGCCAATACAACATACAGTTTGTCCAGTATAAAAACAGTGGAAACCTATGTTGTGTCCCCACTATTCACAAAAACAAACCTCTCTCTGTGTGTGTGTGTGTGTGCGTGTGTGTGTGCGTGTGCGTGTGCGTGTGCGTGTGTGTGTGTGTGTGTGTGTGTGTGTGTGTGTGTGTGTGTGTGTGTGTGTGTGTGTGTGTGTGTGTGCAGTGAGGCGGTGGAGGATCTTCAGCCCAGCTCTCACTCCTCATCTTCAGTGTTCACCATGAGCAAGAGTCCTGCTGGA